GCTTGACGTCTCTTCTTTAAACGACACCCCTCACCAATGACGCACGGTCCACGGTTCGATGATAGATGTTAACACGGTCGCCAGCCTATTTGACCGAATAATAGGCAAGGAATCTTCTTCTTTGTTGAGCCAGCAGTCGTCGCCCTCTTCTATGCTCACCTTCAGGATACACTGCAGTTCAGCCAGATGTACCTTCCACCAAACAGTATTGCCCCTAATTTGTCACAACAGAGGTGCACAAATATCTTCGGGATCTTCAGAAGATAGGTAAGTCGTCCCCTTATTGCGTTTGTTCTCCTTTCAATCAGCGTTTACACTAATCGAAATCCTTTCTTTCTTTCAGGTGTTCCAGGCTTCTACGTTGTTCCAGACAACCCAGGTAAGTAGGTATTAATTACTTAAAATTAATCCTTTTCTTTGTTTCAGGTACTTCAAGGAGTTGCAGCACAACAGGTGAGTTCCGATTGTAATTAAACTTGTCAATCAATTAAGAATAGACACGTCACCCTTGTCCCGTCGTTAACCACAATCACAAGCCCGAATATTCGAATTATAATCAAATAAACCGAAGATATTACCCTACCGAGTTACTATCACAATTAAAATACCCTTAAACCCTTTGTTGCTAATTTAATATATATTAATTCCCCACCCACATCTATATGTAGACTTGTAAGTAGGATGATGAATAAAACAAAAATATTTATGGTATAAAAACTCAAAAATACTATTTATTCACCTTAGGATATATCTTACACACGTAACAGTACTACCGACTAGTATACGGCGTGATATATGTATATATATATATTTCGGAACGCGGAGATGCGACACCCCGGACGCACGAACTTAGACTGGACTCTCGAGCTCTGCGCTCTCCCGCTTTTATAGTGCTGTAGGGGTTCCCCTGACTCGCCCCCACCACTCAGCGGTGAAATCATTAAAACTATGTTATTTATAATGAAATGTAGTGAACATCAATCTTAATCACCTAATCTTATGATCAAAGCTTTGTAATGAACAATACTTATAACATAGTTGTCTTTGTTTACAATTTGTATGTCATTTATAAAACTATTGTTTAAATAAATTTTATGAATATTTAACGACGTGATAATTGTTATTTAACCTTACATTATACTATATGAACGACAATTCATGTGTAGCTGTCGTAATAAAAATTTACAATAATTGTCGTAAACAATTAATGCAGTACTTGGTTTCTTTCGACTATCTATGGCTTACTCCCACCAATTAGACTTATGAGAAGAAAATCCAGTTTTTCTCTGGTATTTTCAGAGATATCAGCTTTTGCGTCTATGGAAAATTTTCCCGGCTTTGTAACGGACAAAATCCGGTTTTAACCAGTTCGCTCGACATTAAAACGTTTTGCTTGTTAGTCAGAATTAAATTAAACCAGCGGCATTTGTATGTCAGTGACTCTAGAAAATATATATGAATATCAATTTGTTGCTAAGTTGCTTAATTAACAAATTGACCATTAAAACTTTTGTAAACAATGACCGTCATGAATTTACGTTCTGTCAATCTTAATATTATAAAATTAGGACCAACAAATGAGAGGTAAGTTTGTCCCCGAAGCAACGTAAAGCCTGGACGACAAAACAATTAAATGTTAATTGTTAATAACAATAAAACATAATAATTCTTATCCTTAAGTTATCGGTAAACATCAATGACATATGACCCTACAGTAACTTATTTGGTTTATGAGCTACGCATAATTGCGTCTTAACCTAGAACATCCGGGTTCAAACCGGTTTAAACTGGTTATTCAATAAAACTTTGTTCTTTCTAAACTATCTGCAGGTTTTTTACCCTAAATGCTTTGTTTAGGACTTCTTTAAGCTTAGATGAACTTAATAACTATTAAATTGTTTAAACAATAGGAACATTGTAGTTAACTTTAAACATTCTTAGTTTATAACTTATTCTATTGTTTAACAATACTTTTGTGTTCATACCTCCGACATGTAACACTAATGACAAAGAACAGTATAATATTTAACTTATTGGGGAATTTTTATCTCCACCATAAAATATCATACCTAATATCTATTACGTCATTTTACTTATACGATGAGTCATATTTAGCGTTGATCTAACGAGAGTGACACTCATTTTTCTGATAAAAACACTCCCTAACAACGACTATACAACTACTTCCGCTGAACTATATTTGCATTTGAATACTGATAAAACAAGGTACCTTCCCCTACATGATCACCAAATGACATTTCTTAAATCATTATCATTGAATTTTAGGTTAGACTACACAACTCTCGATTGGTAGGACCTAACTCAATTATCTGTTTCATTGGTTACTCTAGACTCTTTAGTAAGTAAGAAATGAAAGTTAAATTTAAAAATCTCTGAAAAGCCTAACGGTTGCACTTTTTTGGTCAAATCTGTTTCGATAACAATATAAACACGCTATTTATCAAACAGAAGGGAAAAGAAAAGAGCGTATGTCAGGCCGTTCGCAGCTGTCCACAGTGTCTTAGGCCTCTTCAAAGAGCGCTGCGTAAACACTCTTGCGATAAAGTGTACTGCAGAGTCTGCAAGAGCGTAACAAATTAGGCCATCAATGTTACATCAGACCGGTAAAAAAGGCGCCCGTGAAAAAAAATATTCTATTCATTTTTTACGATTTTGAAACACAGCAGATACAGAAGCTGCCCGGTGACGACACGGTACGCATCCACACGCCAAACTTGTGTGTCGTTCAGCAAATGTGCACAGCATGCATAAACGATGCAGATCTCGCGGGGGTATGTCCGTCTTGCGGTGTACGCGAGCACGTCTTCGAAGAGGATCCCGTAAGGCAGTTTGTAGATTACGCGTGCGATCCTAAAAGAAAATCGTTTCAGAGAGTGATCTGTGTGGCGCATAACGCCAAGGGTTTCGACGCGCAGTTTATACTGAAGCATATCGTGAAGCGTAAGCGGAAAACTCTAAAACCACCGACGCTGATACTCAGTGGCACGAGTATCATAATGATGAAGACAGGTCGTGTAACATTCATAGACAGTCTTAATTATTTTCACATGCCTCTGAGTGGCCTGCCAAAAGCCTTCGGTCTCGTGGGCTCTGCTGGTTTGAAACAAAAAGGTGTCTTTCCGCATGTATTCAATACTCCCGAGAATCAGCACTATATCGGACCTCTACCGCCACTAGAGTTTTATTCGCCCGATACGATGCCGACGGCTCAACGTGATCAATTCCCAGCATGGTATAACGAGCAACGGTCTGCAGGCTACGTATTTAACTTTCGAACAGAGTTTATTGATTACTGTAGATCCGAAGTCGCCATCCTCAGACAGGCATGCGTTTCTTTCCGCGCAATGTTTCTCCAGCACGGTAGCGTTTGTCCTTTCTCGGAGAATGCATAAACGATACAGATCTCGCGGGGGTATGCCCGTCTTGCGGTGTACGCGAGTACGTCTTCGAAGAGGATCCCGTAAGGCAGTTTGTAGATTACGC